GTGTTCTCTTCGGTTGCCACCATAACTTAAGTAGCTTAAACAGACTCTTATCTCTTAGAGACACGACAGCCAGGGAAAAGATGAAGATAATCATGGGAGTCAAACAAGAAATGAAGGAGAACATATTGGCGACTTTCGACGTTGAGTTGCTCGTGGAGGAAGATTGAGCGACAATTGGGGTAGAGTGTATATTGAGATGATCAGGGGCTTCTATATACAGGAGGAGAGTCTGAGCAGGAGCTGTGGCCTACCAAGCGCAACAGTCTTGCCACTATATTCACTACGCAGCTCTTTCTTCCGATTCGAGAACCATCAATCCAAGAACAAGAGTGAAGGAGGGTGCTAAACGAATATACAATGACGCGTTTTTACCTGGAGCGACATCGCTACCAAGACAAACGCGATACTCCATCTACATGACCAAAGGCAAACGCAAACTGCGTCAAAGACGTCACAAGTACACTCTCCCCTCGTCTTCTCTCACCAAACACGGAGTCACGCTGGAAAGCAAGCGTCTCTCACCTCGGGAATTGCTCCACCCACAGAGATATAAAGTCGTCTCCCTCCGCGCCTTCCCTCCTCCTTTCTCTTCCTATCAACATAGACATTGAGGCAACTTCGGCAATATCCACACTTTACTATATCTTATTTGCTTCCTTTGATTCCAAACGACTTCTATATATCCTTTCCAACCTTAACTTACCAATTTCAACATCAACATCACCACCATGTCCAGTCCTCCAGGAAACCAGCCTTCCAGGCGCGGCGGCGCTTCCTCATCTGGCAGTCCATACAACACTCCTCGCCATGGTCGCATTCAATCCCGCACTGGAATTGAGCCCCTGTCTCCGCCTCAAGCCCAGCAGCCCTCTATGCCCAACCACCGCGCTCCACCAACAGTCCATCATCTTCGGGAAGAAGAGCCAAACCCCCTCCAACGCTGGAACGGCAGTTCCGTAAGCCCCTTCATGCGTTGGGCTTACGCAGTCACCGATGCCCGAGGTGCCGTCCGTCCAAACTACAATTACGATCCGGACATGAACAACGCCATCTACCTTAGCGAGACCATTGTAAGTCTTCCTCTACCTCCTCTCCACCCGCACCCACACCCCTAGCAAATCCTCATACTGACACCATGACCTTGTAGGATGACTTCGATCGCAACCCCTCCCTCGTCCACGAACTCGTCCTCCGCATCGCGAACCCCGACCTCGGCCACCCCTCCATGGACTGGATCCGCGCCAACCGCTCTCTCGTCGACATCTTACTCTACCGCCACTACCAGCGCTACGGCGGTCTGATGTTACCTCCGACGGCGGCAGCACTCCAAGCCATGCAGCAGCACGAGGCCGCGATCGCTGCTGCTAGAGCCGCTGGTGTGCATCCAGATAACTATCCGCACATCATGTTCCCGGCGTTTGGACCGCCGCCGCCTGGTGAGGGCGAGGTGGGCTCGCCTGGTGGAAAGGGCAAGGGGAAAATGACGCCGGGGAAGCCGTCTGGATCGCCTCCGGGTAAGGGCAACCCGTTTGGTAGTATCGGAGATAGGGGTGGGTTTGGCCGTGGAGGTCCGAGTGGCGGTGGGGTTTACTACTGAGTAAGTTGTACATCTCCAGGTTGTAGTATGGTGTGTCGGTTGAGGTTCTCGGAGACCTTTGTGGCCTCCTGGCTGCAGTATAGCACTGCTTTGGAGGACTACAAGGACTTCGAGAACCTCCTGGCTGCTTCGTACTGAAACCGTTTGGATGTTTCTGGTAAAGCCTGGCTAACCTCGAGTAGTACTCCCAAAGACGAGTTGCCAGTAAAAGAAAACATGACTTATTACTAAGACGACATGGAACGGCTCATTGCTGGGCGGTTGTAGACCGAGGTGACTATATGGGTTTCAATGAGATGGTTACATACATAGACACGGAGATTGGAAGATGAATATTGGAATATCATTCATATCATTACTATCATTTGACCATTACCAGACTCTTGATATCTACAACCCACTCTTCTCGTTCTTCTCATCCCTAACACTAAGAGTCTCAACATTCTCCGCATCGCCAATCTCACGGCCGCCCACGTACTTGCTCTCCTTCATGTTGTTCATAGCATCTTCCTGAGCATCTGCCTTGCGGAAGGTGAGGTAGAAACCAATACCACCGAACATGGCAACAACAGCAACGGAACCATAGTTCCATACGAGAAGCGGGTCCTCAGACAGACTGACAAAGGCCTGACCGAGAGCGGCGGAAACGGCGGAGGTGGAGAGGGCAACGGCCTGGATAGTGGACTTCATGTTGTTGGGTGCCTTGGTGTACGCGTACTCGAGCTTGGTGATGGAAGCGAGAATCTCGGACATACCGATCAGACCGTAGGGGAAGGCTTGGACCCAGACGGAGATATCGGCGTTGCAGTCTTTACGTTCTTTGCTGAGGGCGTTGATGTTGCTGCCGCAGGGTGACATCTTGTAGATGTAGTATTGGATGACGCAGGCTGACACCATGGCGAATGAGGAAAGAGCGAAACCAGCGGTGATCTTCTTGATGGGCGAGAGGTTGACACCAGCCTTGCGGAGAGCGGGGTAGACGAAGAAGTCCATGATCGGAATAAGGATAACGATGAAGATGGGGTTCAGCTTCGAGACGATGTCGTTGGGTGTCTTTCCGAGGTTCATGGTGTTGGCTTGGGAGACAAGGTTGTTGGTCATTTGGTTGTACGCGAGCCAGTAGAGAGGGTACCACAAGAAGACCTTGCAAGCGAGGATACCGCGCTTGACTTCATCAACCCAGGCATCGTCAAAGGTCATCCAGTCAGGGACAGCCTGGCCGCTGGCACGAAGAGCAGTAGGCTTGATCCTGTCCCAGAAACCATCGTCCTTGAACGTGTTCTTGCGGGGTGACTGCTTGATACCGAGACCGATGAGCTTGAAAGCCTTGCCCATGACGGATCCAGTGGGTGGCGAGAGCTTGTAGTGCTTCTTCATCGTGATGAGGATGATGGGGCAGAGGAGGTAGCAGATAGTGGGTAGCGTGTAAGAGAGCCAGAAACCGACGAAATGCTGGATGGCGTTAGTGAGATCACATAATGCAGTCTGATTCGGCACATACCTCTGAGTAAACCATGGCGATGGAACCGCAGATAGATCCGCAGTTGATCAGGAAGTAAAAGTAGATATAGATACGCGCAGTGGTAGTGGCGGGGTCGACAATCTCCTTCTGTCCATTCTTCCTGACACGGACGTAGGCCTTTTGATCCTTGTACTGTTCGGCGATGAGTGGAGAGATGTTACTCTTGAAACCACCAGTTCCGAAACCCATAACGACGAGACCGACAGCGAAGACACCGATGGCGACATTAGGCTTGACGATAACTGCGGGGATAGCAGACATAATCAGGATAATGTGGCCGATAAGAGCGATCAGGTTAGAGTACTGGATGGTTTTGTAACGTCCCCAGTACTCGTCAGCGAGCCAGGCACCACCGAGAGGCGTGATGTAAGACCAGAACTGGTTGAACATGGTGAGACCGGTGGAAGCACGTTGGCCCATGTCCAGAGCACCGGAACTGACGCCTTTCTTCAAGAAACCAGCACCAGTTGTGGAACCAGGAGGCAATGGCTTTTGGATGAAGTCTGGTAAAAGTCAGTGTATGCCCAAATATACGGGCTATCAATCAACTTACTGACGAAGACAGCGCTGGTACCGTAGTAACTGAAGCGCTCAACGAACTCAACAGCAGCCACAGTCCATGCTTGCCACGGGATGCGACCAGCAACCCTGGGAAGAGTCGCCCATTCCTCCTCAGTAGGGAATGGACCCAAGAGGTTGGTGTTCTCATCAAAAGAACCAGTGGAGCTGGTGTCGAGTGGGATAGGGTCCATAGCAGTGGCGCCCTTGGTGATCTCAAGAGACGCCTTGACGTTGGTGTTGGCCGCCATTGTGCTGGAGAGAACTTGAACTAAGTTCAGGTAGAACAAAGGTAACAAGGTACGACCGCGAAATTGAATGCGCGGGCGGTGGAATCAAGTAGACGCAACGGGCGATGAACTTGAGTGCCTGCGGTCCAGACAGGTGTACCTTGCCCCTCTTCATATACACCCAAGCAAACTCCAAGACCGACGCTCTGGACAAGAGTTGCACAAGGGTCGCACACGACTATCGATGGTGCCCACCCTCGCCATGGCAGTTCGTTCGCTCGGTTCCCGCGTTATCACAGCAACATGCACATAACAGCCATCCAAGACCATGGAACGGCGCCTAGTCCGGTCGGAGGATCATACAAACCAGACCTTCAGGCATACTGCCGCAGTTAAGCGCGTTGGTTAGAGGCATCCAAGGCCGTGGTAGCCCCAGGGTCAGGATAAGATAGGAATGAGCAAAGAACCCGGGCGCCAATACGAGCAACCAGCCTTGCTCCATGGGCGCGGCGGAACGTTCGAAAAAGACGTGCCAAGCTGGGCTAAGCAGGAAAAGATAACGCTCAGGGAAGCTTCCTATGCGGGCGCGCAGGACGCGCCAAGCCAGTATCCATCTCTTGGTCTTGTCACCTCCCCTTCTGGCCCTAGTCACGATTGCGACGCGCCTGAATGGATCTAGGATCTCCGCCCGGATGGTAGCCAAGGCCTTGGACGTAGGGTTATCAGTATAAGCGTTTCATCACGGTTACCTCCTTCTGCAATGGATCACGCGCGAGATGATGGCTGATGGGGCGTGGTTGCGACGGGGCGTTGGAAAGTTGGAGAGGTTGGTGTTGAAGCGGCGGGTATTATTGGTGTTCAGATAAACCTCACGCTATCAATGAAGCACGGACCTGCTAGCGGAAAACTGGCGGAAGGCGTGGCGGAGTGATCACCGCACCAACGAACTTCTTTTGATTTGACATCTAGGGGTATCTGCTCCCGAGAGGATGGAGGTGGTGACATCCACTGAGGCGAATTACTCTCAGCTGCCGAACACCATCTTTCCAAAACTTTTGCCCTTATCTCTTCTCTTCTCGGTCTCACCGAAATCTCACTTGCCCACTTGCCGGAAAAACTCGTCTTACTTCCAATCAGCCGTCCCGAATCAGTTGTAGCCATCTCTGGATCCTGCTGGTGGTCAGTGACATGGGCGTTGTAGAATTGATCTGGTGGGTATCCGAACCTGGATAGAACTCTTCCGCGTCAGGGCGAGGCACATGAGTGCTCGCACCTGGTCCTGAAGATGGTTGCTGAGGACGTGCTGGAAGACCTTGATGAGATGATTGTTGTCCTTGTTGACTTCCTGAAGAACCACGACCACGCTGAGCCGGCTGTCCTTGATGATACGGGTTGCCACCTTGCTGTGACGGCATCGCGAAACCGCTGCTTGCTCCAGTCTGCGAAGAGTAGTCTTGGTGGGCGCTATACATCATTTGACTACCAGTCCAGCCACCATCATACTGCTGTCCGGGGTTGGTGAATGGCTGCTGTTGGTAAGGCTGCATAGGATAGCCGCCCATAGGCGGCGCAGCCACGTAAGGACCACCATATCCGTACTGATAAGCTGGGTAGCCATACATTCCCGAAGGTGGAATTGAAGGGAACTGAGATGGCGTCTGTTGCATGTTTGGAGGCACACCGGGTCCTTGGTTGAAACGGCCACCACGATCCGAACCACCACGAGTCTGCGAAGGCCGACCTCTTCCACGACCGTTTCCGCGACCGCCCCCACGACCACGCTCAGCCTGATGAACCCTCATATTGAGGTTGGCCAGTTCCCTCTCCAACGTCGCATTCCTAGCTTCAAGCACCGCGACAGAAGTCGCGCGCGCTGGGGCAGCTTCAGCTGGAGATGCGGTGGACGGCCTAGTACTAGTATGTCCTGCTCGAGGGAACTCCGGACTCGGGTTGTCTCCCAAGGAGAAGAGCATGTACGGCCCGTGTACAATTGCGTGGCGGACGAAGATACGGAGACAGTACTGGCTGCCTTGATCGGTGACGGGAATGAACTTCGACATTTCCGCCGCTGTCAAAAGTTCAGAGTTGAGGAGGCAGAGGCGGAGACGTTCAATTGTGAACGGGAAGTCTTCGTAGTGTTCCTAGGATGTATGCGTCAGTGCCTGTATTTAAGAGACGGCGGGGTGGCTGTTGGGTGTCCCAGGTGCACTTCACGTATTTCCCCGCCGTGGTGTGGCTTGGTGGGGATACAATGTGTGCTCCTGGGCTGACTGATGGGGAGTAAGTTAGCGTCCGGGTTACTTACGAGAAGATGCAGGTTCGACCTTCCGAAAACGACCTGGCGGTTCCAGTCCATTGTAGTCCTGCGCTCCTCTGGGTAGACCCGCTGAAGGAAGGGAATCAGTTCAGAGTCGACCCAGTCTTGGTCGATTGGCGCAGGGGAGGAGTTGAAGACGGCAGGAGGTGTTCGGCCCGTCATGGTGACAAGAAGGTGGAGTTGGACGTAGAAAGAAGATCGAGTCAAGTATCAAGTCGAATTGTATGAAGGTAGGGTATAATCGATTGCAGTCAAGTCGCGTAGGTGTCGTGTATGGAGAGGAAGAAAGGAGTGTACTCCTGACAGTGTCGATAGATTATATACACACTGGCAAGTGAAGGGCCCGGCAGGTACCCGCATTGTTCATCTGTTTATCTTGCTCACTCCCTCCTTCACTTTGTTCTTCCGACGTCATTCCCGCAGTTACCCGCGGCTTTTTGCTCACTTGACGAGCACGCGATTGCTTGCGTCGGCGCCACGTTAAGTCCGAGCAAACGCAGTTGTATACGACCCGACGCGCTGGTTTTTATCTCCGATCAGGTGAAGGAGAATTTGAGGAGTTGGTCCTTCACCTTTCACGATGTTCGCAGTGAGAGGAGGATGCAACCGAGTTTAGATTGCGTTTTCAGAAATTAGTCTGTACGACGAGGCACTGTGATAGCAGCAATCAAGTTTGCAATTCTTTTGAGATTAGTACTGTAATGACGCGGACGGGCAAGTGGAGGACAATTCGCCGTCTCTGTTATACTCGGACGAAAAATCACCACCCTATGATTTCCTCGCAAATGAACCAGCTGTTGCAGCGTCGTTGTTACCCAATTCGTGTTCCTCCGTAATGTGAATAAACTACACACGCTTCAGTGGTAGAGACGGTGGCAGATGGAATAAGTCGAATAACTCTGCTTTCATTCAGACCTCTCTCTGTATTTGACAGCGAACACACTCTGGTATATATCGAACCTAATCGCTAACAAAACATGGATATGCCAACAATGCTTAGAAAGTCCTAACAAACAAACACCCCTAATTCCCTACATGCCAATAGTGATATCTCGTGTCACATTTTGCTCCGAAACGCCAAAACACAAAAAGGAAAAAGAAGGAGAAGCGCCTGTCTTCTTTGTCCAGAAGGGTGTGGAGTAGAAGAGAGAAGAGGAAGGAAATCGAGAAGCGAGCCTCGCGCTTGGTGGTAACAAAGGAAAATGTACATCTGCGGTATTTGATGTGTGGTGGTGGTTATGCAAGCCAGCTAGTCTTCCAAGTCCAGCAAGCCGGGAAGGGAAGTGAAGTTCTATATCTTCCTTCGAACAGTGAATTTGCGCTCCATGGTCGCAGCGGGTAAGGCTTCAGCGAAAGTATCGCGTGCTGTTACTCACATTAGCACTCTCCCTCTTATGAAATGGTGTGGGCATGACTTACTCTCAGCAGAATCAAACATGATGAGAATATCATCATGCTCGCCCGGATACTCAATCTCATCTAGACAAACAAATCGTCTCTTCGTACCAGACCAACCCGTAAGTCTGCCCTCCGCCTTCTGGATCTTGCCCTCGCCCCTGCGTTCATCGACGGGAAGAGCGAACTTCGCATCGACAAGCTTGAGTCCGAACTGACCGTTCTTGTCGGTCTTTTGGAACGTGTCGGTGAGGCGGAGTTGGAAGTTCATGGCGTCGGCGTGGGAGAAGTCTTCGAAGAAAGCGAGCAGTTGGATAATGTTGTCTTGTTCGACGATTTGCAGGCGGATTCGTGTGGCGGTCCATTGCTTGTAGATGGGGACGACCATGCGTCGGCGGGAGATGGAGAAGGAGTTTGCGAGACTGGGATAGTGTTAGCTAGATATCCAAAGACACGGTGAGGACGATAGACATACCCGTCAAATTTGACGTGGAAGCCGGTGACAGCTAGCTGGAAAGTATGCAGATCGTTGAAGGAGTTGAAGGTCAGTCTTCGGATCGTCGAAGCGCTTGTGAGTGTCTTGAGGAGCTTGGCTAGTTCATCGGGGACGGCGGGGTCGGTTCGGCTGCTGTCGACAGCTACAGCCATGTCTTGTTGGGCTTCGCGGAGGAGTGTGAGTTCAGCGGCTCCATCAACTGGGAGGCGGACTAGAAGTTCACCAGATCCTGGAAGTCGTTAGTATCGCGTTATTCGTCCGAGAAGACTCAACTTACCCAAGTTCATGCGGTCAGAGATGATACCGGCAGTGTGTCGACACATGATTCTCAAACTCTCACTTTTGACAGTAGGTGCTGATTCCAATCCTGCAGCTTCTGGATCCAGGTTCATAACCTTGGCTTCCACCCACTGCAGCTTTTCAAGCACGCGACTACCCTGCGAGGTAAAGCCCTCTGACTGGTCCGCACTCTCAATGTGGAATGCTTTCAGTGCGACTTGAGCGAAGGTAGTCTCACCTTCTGCAACATTCATGGACGTGAATGTGCCAAAGAGGTCGTTTCGGTCCCTGCCACTCTGGAAGACGAGGTGAGCTGCACATGTCCTCAGCTTCTTATCCGCACCCTCTTCCCGGAAGCGTAGTCTCAACGCCGGAGCCTGGTTAGCTTCGGTGACGTATTCGAAGTTCATGGGCTCCTGCTTTGTTCCGAGCTCATGATTGATCAAGCTGACTTGCTTGGTTTGCTGCGGCGTGACCAGAACCATACGGTAGCCTCGATGCAATTTCCGCTTTCCTGTACCTTCACTACTTCGTTCGATCCTTTGGAAAACCATCAGCTTGCAGCCTTGAATCCGGTCGCCTGGCCATGCTGATGGGTTTGCAGGATCCCGGTAGCTCGCCTCCTGGAGGTACAATTTGCAAGCAAAGCGCTCGTCTCTCCGTTCTCGTAGGTCTGACTCGACTCGGTTCGTGTGATTGACGATAGACCAGAGACTACGGAAGTCACTTTCGTGCAGCGCAAGAGTCAAAACGAATCCGTGCTTTAATTGAACAGTGAGTTGCGAAGCCTGCTGCTTCCAGGCAACGTCTTTCCAGCCAAGTACTGATCCGGAGCCCACCAGAAGGTTGATGAGGCTGTTCTGGCTGCAGATGGCCAACTTGACTTGATACTCCTCCTTAGACCGCATGACAGAAACAACAGCATCCATCGGAACGCGATCGGTGGCAGGGTCATCTGTCGACACTGAGGCTTTGACGAACATGCGGAAATAGCAAAAGTCGGTCTTGGTGTCGGAGAGGGGGATGTACTGAGATAGACTGAACTGGCTGCCACTGGCTGCGGGAAGGCCTGAAGTGAGCACGCTCGCTGCATCTGCGGGGAATGTCGGATACTCCTCCCATATCTTCTGATCTTGTCCCTGGATAAGAGCTTGCGTTGGAGGCATGCTTTGATGCTTCTTCATCGACCCCACAAGCAATTTGAGGTAATGAGCAATCGCATTCTGTATATCAAACACCTCCGCACTCGCATGGTCTCCGGCTTGTCTTGCCATACCGACTTGCGCGTCGGGGGACGAGTTGCCGTACCCCTGTAAGCTAGGATGGTTCGGAAGGACTTCAGAGATGATCCACCACACTTTGGCCAGGTCGACATGCGGTTGAGCCAGTCGTTCTTGTATGGGTTCGGCAGACTTGGATTGACTTCTAATCAGGTTCTCCATTCCAGTGCGTCCTTTCAAGAACCACCAAGTAGCGACTCTGAGCCATTGCATCGGCGAGTGATTGTTAAGGTTGCCCCCGAGCTGAGCTGTCAGCTGGAAGATGCCTCTCATATGCGTGATGCGCTCAGCAAAGTCCCGGTATGCGGAATCATTTGCAGATCTCGTATCCGAACGAGCGAGAGGAGCAGCGGGTTTTGCGCTGGTACTGGCACCAGATGCATTTCGAGAGGGCAACTGGCTGGGAGGTCCTGAGATTGCTAGAGGCTGGGGAAGTGAGGAAGGTTGCAGCTGAGGTTGAGCAGATGAGAAATAAGATGTACTCGGGGGAAGTTGGGGTGGAGTTGGGAGGTTTGGGCTGTCGTCAAGGGCCCCGAAAAGAGCGTTCTCTTTGATCGAAGGAATCCGTTGTACGTTTGTATTGATAAAAGGATCCGACCGTGCAGCAGGAGAGGCGCGTGTCTGTGAAGGGGAAAATGCGACATATTGGGATCTAGACGCGGATGGTGGTGATTGCGCTCCCGGCCGTCCCGGGGAGGGCCCACGGGCTCTCGATCGTTCAGGGTCCTCAGTGTCTAGTCTCATCCGAGGAGATCCCCTAGAATCGGACTGTGGTGTCTCTAGAGGTGTTCTGGCTGCGGCCGGCGTGGCATATGAGGAAGGAGGTGTGCCCACGAGGGACTGCTGTGAGCTCGTCTCGGAGTCCCGTCTTTGACCTGAGGCTGCCCGTTGCGATGCCTCATGCAGTGTTCTGCCCTCTTCCGATCGCATCTTTTGTTTCACCCTCGCAGCGAACGAACTCGGGCCATCGTCCTCCTGCTCAGCCAAATGTCTTTCTGGCATCATGGGCACCGAAGGTATCGCATGCACCGGCGAGGGCAGATCGTCGTCGCCCAGGGTACTGAAGCCAGTCTGCGTGCGTTTCAGCGGCTTTGGCTGGAAGTCGTCCTCTTCTTGGATAGTAGGTTCGCGTACTGACATATTCCTCGACATGACAGGTGAGAGGTTGTCCGAATCCTGGGAATACACAGAGTCTTCGCTGGTGCTGGGTCGCCTTCCGGGAGGGATAGATATAGGCTCTGGTATACCGTCAAAGCCAGTGGGCGCCCTGGTGAGGCCCTTTGGTCGGTCTCCCAAGCCCATAGATCCCATGTAGCGCGGCGGTGTGGGTGGCAGTTGCGTAGCGTGGGTGTTGATCTGACCCATCTGCATCTTCTGGCCGAGTGGTGGGGACAGCTCGCCGGGGTTCGTCCGCGTTCTCGTGAGGTTTGTCCTGTACTCGGTCTGCGAGGGGGTCCTGCCTATGCCATTGCTGCGCGCTCCCAGATTTGCATCGTCCTGCGGCGTCTGAGATTGCACCTTCTCCGGTTCCGGGATCGTCGCTGCCTTTTTGTTCTTCGCGACTTCCACAACGGGGTCCTCGCACTCGTCACCGCCATGGCCTATGACTTCGGGGACTGTGCGCACGAAGCTCACGGTGAAGCCCTTCTTGCGCGTGCCTGTCTTCAGACCGCCGGGCCCTGGGCTCTTTCCGGCAGCAGCTGCGCTGTTCA